CCCCCCCGAGCCTGGCGGACCCACTCCGCTGCGGAGAGTGCGTCTGGCCCTTTAAGAGCCGGCGCAGAGGCCGGGCTAAGCCCCGCCCCGGCTGAGCCTGACTGGCAGCCGGTCGCTCCAATCGGGAGCTGGGATCCGAGCAACGCGTGGCAATTGGGGCCGAGGCGGGGAGGCCCCCCCCTGCCCCCCAGCATGGAGCCGGCCGCCCGCGCGGGCCCTCGCGCAGGTGAGAGAGCGGCCGGGGACTGCGGTGCGCGGCAGCGTGACGTCACGCACAGCGATGCAGTGACGTGGGGTGGGGCGGGGCAGGCCCAGGGATAGGGGCCGGGGGAGGGACAGGGAGGGTAGAGACAAGGGAGCGGCCCAGGAGCAGGTGGGGATAGGGGCGGGCGGGGGCTATGGGGCAGATGCAGGTGGGGATAGGGGCAGGCAGGGGGTGGGATTAGGGGCACGTGGGGATAGGGGATAGGGGCGGGCAGGGGCTATGGGGTAGGAGTAGGTGGGGATAGGGGCAGGCAGGGGGTGGGATTAGGGGCATGTGGGGATAGGGTACAGGGGCTGGCAGGGGATATGGGGGATGAGTAAGTGGGGATAGGGGCGGGCGGGGGCACGTGGGGATAGGGGCTGGCAGGGGCTATGGGGTAGGAGTAGGTGGGGATGGGGCAGGCAGGAGATGAGGTTAGGGGCAGAGGCAGGTGGGGATAGGGGCAGGCAGCGGGTGGGATTAGGGGCACGTGGGGATAGGGTATAGGGGCTGGCAGGGGATATGGGCTATGAGTAAGTGGGGATAGGGGCAGGCAGGATATGAAGTTAGGGGTAGGGGCATGTGGGGCTAGGGGCTGGCAGGGCCCAGGAATAGGGACAGGTGGGGATAATGGCAGGCATGGGTTGGGTTAGGGGCAGGGGTAGGTAGGGGCACGTGGGGATAGGCTTTGGGGGCTGGGAGGGACTATGGGGTAGAAGTAGGTGGGGATAGGGGCAGGCAGGAGATGAGGTATGGGGCAGAGGCA